CTTTGAGGGGGAGGGGGATGGTGAGACCAAAGCATAGATTGTGTTAGGCAATAGGTGTGATCATATAAATGTATAGTGTAGTTGGATTTCCAGAGTTATGAAGGTTGGCCAGGAACTAGGTCAACTGTAGTGGTGGGACTCGTGTGAATTATCCTACTCGAGTAGAGGCTCTTGAACACTCGATTTATTCGCGATTAAAATGAATGATTTTGGAAAAAAGTTCAGAAAAACTTTCTTCGGAAAGTTACAAACTTTCACTTCCGGTAGCAATGTTTTCAAGTGTTCTCGGCTTAACCTACCTTGAATACCTCCAACATACCCATCAAATTATTCAAATAGAATAACTCAATACACTTTATATGTTCTTGTTTTGCATTGAAAAGTAAATAATTTAGCAATTTACCCTAATTGGTTTGACCTCGTTAAATATTGCATTGCACATGCGCAACCGGATGTAATCAATAAATAAAAACAAACACGAGAAAGCCTATCGTATTTGATTTATTATTCCAGTTAAGGTATCAAACTACAATGCTATATATTAAGGAAGGCATCATTGCTAAACATTGTACAGAAATGTTGTACATTGGATGTGTTTTTTTTAATGTAAATTGCGGTTGAAAGGTGGGTAAATCACATTTTCTTCATCATTTTTTTCATTTTTTTTTCAATTCGAGTCAGAATTTACCAATCGATGAATCCTATTTACAGGGTTTGGCGAGTAGTATTCGAGTCCACGAGTCAATCGTTGCTCCACTAGTCAACTGGTACAGGAAAACCTGTCTTAGTAGAACACCTTTGGTACCTCTAAAAATTGTTTCACATGGGAGGTGTTCCACTTATAGAGTTTCATATTACATTAACTTAGTTGGTCTTGGGATTCTGAAAAGTGTTCTACTAACAGAGGTGTTGCAAATAGAGGTGTTTTCAGACATGTTTTCATATTTTCCAAGCTTCTATCATTGAAAGCAATATATTGGGCACATTTTCTGAAAAATTCAAATCATTCTGTTCAGTGACCTTTCCGAAAGGAAAACTTTTAATATTTTTCTGTCACAATTTCAGAGGGCTGTAAAAGCTATTTCATTGTGTTAAGGGACATTTTGACCATGACCATTGGAATCCTGGTCATGTTAATGATATATGGGAGCAGTAAAACTGACTAAAGCAATGTTCTATTTAACAGGTTTCACTGTATTGCCTTTTTGACAGCTTGTCATTTCTGAGCTAATAATACAACACACTTCTTGGCTCTAGGGCTTTAGATTGACTGTCAGAATACTTAACCATCTTCTTTATTTTAAGAACATTTAGAAGCACAATTATCACCTAGTTATTGCAAATACTGTAGGTTCTATGTATATCTTAGACAAGGTATTCTATGATTGTATTCGTTTTTTTGAGAAAAGTTAGTCAAACTGATTTTAGTAAGACAAAGTCCTGCACCAAGTGGTTGGATCCCCCTGCTACCTCGCCCCCTAAGTGAATAAAGGGATAGACCATTATACCCATGGGAAGAGAATCTCACCAGTTGGTGGGGGACATCTTGTACATATTTGTATCCCTGTATTATGAAAGTATTATTGTCTTACATATACAATAGGATTCCTGACTTGATACCTTTGTAACACTAAGATCAACTTATAATTCAATGAATAATTCTACTGCTGTTTGTCTAAATACAAGACTCATTAATAAACTTTCAGGTTTTAAACAATTATTACATAATTAATATAACTGAACCATTATGTCTATAGCAGATACTTGTTCTTCACCATTGACTTGTAAATCTAGAGTACACATGTAGATCCATTTTGAAAAATGTAGGTGGAGTATTTTTTCAAATTTTGATTAATCAACATTATATGAAGGATGATTTAAAGTGCCACCATTCATTTATGTGAGCTCTATCCAAATTATGTATTTGATATGTGAACAAAAACAACTTAACCATCAAAATGATATGATATCATGTAATTTCTTTGTGTGGTCTAAATAGAACACATGTCATTGTCAAACCATTGCATCTATGCTATAAGCATATAGCTATGACCTAGAAATTGTTTTTTTAGATTGTGTAATTCATTAATGCTTTCTGGATGTGGGGAAAATATGTTGATACCTCATTTAATATTTACATAATACAAGCAAAGACTCAAATTGAAGGAATTTGGGGTCAAAGTATATAAGACCCTTTGAAAGAGTTTGCCTTACTGCCCACACTCTTTAAAATAGACATAGTTTTTTGACGTAGCATATATCCAATCAGAATGAATCAGCAAAATTGTAACATTTGCAGTAAGAGGGTTTTGTAGCTAGGCAACAAGGAATCCATGAATATATTTCATTTGTGACCATTAAGATCTCAATAGGTGATAGTAAGAGAATAGTGTTGCAACAGGGAATCTACAAATTGCATTTAAGATCTTTGCAGCATCAAAACTGACATTAGCATTTATCGTCAGATGGTAGGGTGGCTAGATGACATGAACTCATGATATACTAAGGTAGTTCCTTTGACGTATTTAATACATTATTGCCATCAGAAATAAGTCGTTATAATTCCGATGAGTAGATCAAATATCAAGAAGCAATCTTATTTATAATCTACTGCTTTGTGAATATAATTCTTGCCTATGTACAGGTGACCTTTAACGTGCCACGCACTTCAAGTATTGATTGTCGTAGGAGACCTCAATCTTCAGAGCTACTTTCCCATCATTGCTCAATGAACAGTTATGTATGTATATATAAGCGTTGGAATAAAGAACTGTTTCTTGTGTCACTAAGCTTGGATGTGAAATTGACCAGTCATCCCTATATCTCATCTCATTCTTTAATAGAGGGATAATGTGGGGGGAGGTTAACTATATATATCTATCTTTTATTATGCCATCGAACGAAGTTCTGAGGAATATATGGAACGCCTCCATCCGTCTGGGCAATAACTCAAATACCGTTGGCCCGATTTTGTTCATATTTTGTACACATATACCCTATGGGGGTAGAAGTTCTGCTCAAAAGCCGATTTTCAAAATGGCCACTCACTTTGCTAAATGTAAAATTACATAAGAATTTTTATGAGACATCAGTCTTTAAAAAATAAAGTCAGAACTGCCTCCAAAATTAAATTGTGTTAGGGTGTCAAACAAAAATTTCTGTAGTGTTTTTCATACAAATCATGATGAAGTGTTGTTCATCTTCTAAGATATCACAAATATTACATAAACGTTCATCTACAGGTTTCAACGAAGTTCTACATGTAACTTGTGGGAACTAAGCCTAAATCTACAAATTGCTTGCCTGTAATTTTTATTTTTGATATTCAAACTCTCTCTTTTTGAATTTAATTAAGACCGGGTAATTTAATATATCCTTCTTCCACTGAGATTTATAATTCTGATACAGTATTTTTGTCTTGATAAAAATATTGGCATCATCAATCTTTTGAGTATCCCAATATTAAAATAAATCGCACTTTTTAAAACCTAATTGACTCATTTCACGGTCATACATATACGTTTTATGAAGAATGTTTCATGGTGAAAGATGAAGTAAATGAAGCCAAAATTTAATTAATTTGATTTCAAAATGTATTTTTAACAGGTAGCGTCCAAATTCTCCATATTGATGGTGTTGAGTTGATTTTTTAACACCCAACAGACATTTAAGACTACCCCTGGGTGTTTTTACATGAAAGAATGCAATTATTATTCCCTCGTAGACGAAACAGAAAGTGCACTGTCAATTATTTGGTATTAAATATTTATGAGCTTTGAAATATGAAAAAACTGTTCAAATTCAATTTCTAATTTGTGTTTGATCAGAATATGAACAATTCTCATAAACATGAACATTTCACCTTTTCAGTTCCATTTTCATGTCTCCATCTCAAGTGGTAACATATTGTTATAGTCCATAACATTTTTGTGGACAGTGTTTGGTGTTTGACAGTCGGTGATTGGAGTATGTCGGCCATTGTCTGTACTTAATGGCAGGTTGTGATATTTTGTATGTTAATACCTTGTTCTTATCTGAATTATATTATATTATTTATTTATTATCATTATTATATTTGAATTATTGTAGGTTTTACTATATCTACTGTTCTTCAGTTATATGCTGATAAGTCAGCATTTTAAATAACGCTTTTATGACTTTTTGGTGAGTTTGAATTCGAAATGATTTTCTAACTACAAATTCTTAAAAACATCTTCCTGAAGAGTATAGATGGAAGCTATGTTCTTCCAAAGGGGAGCCAAAGTAGCGAGAAACTGTATTTAGGTATGGTAGAATCAAGAGACTCCTTAAGAAAATTCCGTTAAATTACTTCCAAAAACTAAAATGGCATAGCCTGAAGCAGAAATTTCAATATGAACCGTTTTTAGATTTTTATTGAAATGTAGATAACCCAGGCAGGGAGGAAATTTGGGAAAATTTATAATCCTGAATGTTTGAGATTGTATCAGGTGATGTTTGCTTATTGCTTATTACTTTGCCAGGCTCGCGAAATAATTATCACCTCATGAAACTTTTAAGTAATTATATTCAAAAGATGTGTGTTAGTCATGAAATAATACCTCAATCATATCACATCTCTGAAATTATTTCAAGAAGAAACTAATATTTGAAGCATTAGAAAATTGGAATTGTCATAACACCTACCAAAGGGAGGACATTAGAAAATGAGCTAGCTTTTTATGAGATTTTTAAAAGGATAGGATTTCTTATATCACATCCGCTTTAGTGAATGAGCATGTATTAAATGTCTTATTAGATGAGGCTGCAGTAATATTAGTACTTCACGTATTACATAAATACGTGTACTGTCACCAATCATCATTATGATGTTCTACTGAGAAATTATTATATGCTTGCCTAATAGCATGTAGCAGGGATTTGTTTTGTCTTTACATCCTTGCGGAAGCTTTTTGATGTACAGTACTTTCTGCTGAAGATTTTCAATTTGAAGTATAATTTTGTGTTTGATATATTTTCAGATAAAATGGATGACGATGCAAACAAGGATGAAGAGGAAGAAAACTCAATGGAAAAAACACCGAAGTTCATCACTTTCAGTGAGTCATTTACGAATGAGGACAATTATGACTCGTATTTTAACACAGTAGTTTCCAGTAGCATAACTACAGAGAGAGATGATGATATGGGAAGTAAGAAAGATGAAAACATTGACAATAATGATGTAATAGGAAATGGGAAGCATGTAACATTTAACAATGGTGGAATCGATCAACACAGTCAGAAGTGTACTGACCCTGTCAACAAAATAAAAATTATGGAAAATGTAAATGATTCTGACAATGATGATTGGATGCAACCATCAATGAACACTGTTGATCAAGATGACCTGCTGTTTCAACTCCAAGAAGAGAGAAGAGATCCAAGTGAAACTATTGACAATGAGGAGATTGAATGTGAAAATGAAACTGAGGAAGAAAATAATATTGAGTCGGAAATTGACATTAACACTAATGAACAGGAGAATATAGAACTTAATGAACAAAATGCTGACTTGGATGAACAAGATAATGACTCTAGACAATATAGTATTTCAAATCAAACGGATCATGACTCAAGTCAACAAGGTGATGATGACTTAAATGAATGTATTGATTCAAGTTCAATAGACAGTGACTCAAATCTACAAAATAAAAGTCCTCAAAGTGATCAAGAATGTTATAAAATGCCTGTTTTGGAACAGTTTGTATCTGAGCCTTTTAATTCAACAGGAGATGAATCGAATCCTAAACCTATTGAATACTGTGACATTGTTCAACAGAAATTTGAAATGGAGAAAGATTCAGAATTCACTGTGAATGATTCCAAAATGATGTCAGTTGACAAAGAAATTGTGATGAATGATTTAAAGATTATGCCAAATGACTCTGAAGTTATGATTAATGATTCTAAAATGTTGACAGAGGATGTAGAAAAGATGTCAGGTGCATCTGAAACTAATGAAATATCTTTACATGACTGCGATCAAAATAATGTTATAAATGAGGAGAAAGATTGTCCAGGGAAAGTAACTAATAATCTCAAAGAAACAAATGGCGAAATAAATGAAAGGGCTGATACAGATGATCATAACCAGAATGGAGACCTTGATATCAAGAGTGAAATGTTTGATAGGAAAAAATCTGAAACAGATGACACAACTGATCTATCTGAACCTTTGCCCAGTGTTGTTTCACCACAAGCAATGACAGCAGCTACTTTAGAGCCGATGTTTTCTGAGAGCTCTCAATCGACACAGCATAGTGAAATAGCGAATTTGATTAAAATGAGTAATGAGATTGACAGTGACAATTCACCTGTTATACAGAATGATCTCATAAAGTCACAGTTCAGTGAGGTTAACATGGATAATGACCTCATGGGAGAGAAAAATGTTGAAGAATTCCCAACAATTGAAGGTTCACAAATCTCTACACTGAAAGGTGTTGACCAATTGAACATTTGTGACGACATTGACAAAAATATTGCAGGTAATGACAGCATTAAAGATGGTGAAACAGTAAGTACTTCAAGAAATGAGGAATCTCAGAAAATGGAAGAATCTATTCCTGTGAATAAAAAATGGAATATTATTGAAGCTACCATTGACAAAGTGATGGACAATGTTGATCATGACAGTCCAATAATAGCTTCTGAAAAGTCAATTGACAATGCAGATACTTTAAAGTACTCGAAAGTGAATGAAAGCTACGTTGGAATAAGCAGGAAAAGTCCCATTAATATACCAGTAGAAAGCAAATTAAATAATCTTTTTAAGAGAAGTAGTCCCAATTCTAATTCTCCACTTGATGATCTGTCAAAACAAACTGAGATTATCCATAAAGATGTCAAATTAAAAAATCAAGATCGAGACACTATTACAGAATCAATCGAGGCTGTTATTCGGGCCTCTCTTGTTGACGACAAAACTGTGCAAGAGAAACACCCGACTATTACATCTATACTTAGCACACAGAAGAGAGAACCACCTCTTCCTGCTCATAAAGCTCCAAGTCTTAGAGGTCTCCTGATGAAAGGAAAATCCTCGTTTAGTCTTAGTGACATTGTTAATCATGCAGTAACGCAAGAACTTGGCCCAGAAGATGATACGTCAAATAAACGAATTCCTGAACCTGAGCCAGATCCCCCTAAAAGAAAACGTCGACGTAAAGCAAAGGCACAGAAGGTCATCCAGAATTATTCGGATGATGACCTTTCTGATAATCCTTATATGGAGGATCCATCCCGCCAGATGGACAAGCTGCTTCACTCTTATGGTCTCGAGACGATGCTGAGTGGCGCAAGTGAGGACGCTGATACTGAACTCAACCAATCAGGATTCAAGGTGGAACAACGAGAGGATGGAGCTTACGAAGGTGAGATGTATGGAGAAAGAGCCTCTGTTAAAGCCGAGCCAAGTAGTCCCGTTGGAGAACCACCAGGTAAATATAATTGCTTATTTGGACTTAATTGTTATACTTTTCATATGTGGTTATACCAAGGGAGGGATTGTATATTGGTTTTATCCCGGAGGAGTGATATCATATTATCCCTTAGGATATTTTAACATTAAAATGTGATTTCCCATGTTTGAGAAAAAAGTTTGCTGAAAAACTAAGATTTTGATCCATTCGGGATATGTGGGAAAATCTATGAAATGATATCAAATTTCGAAATATTGTTATTATCATTTTAAGTATGTTATATCTGTTCATATCATTTGATGGTGATCATTGTCTAGAACATGGTGAACCATAATAAATTTGCTCTGTGATATGAATCAGAATAAATGACATTTATGCAAACAGAAATTATGAAATGCATGCTGTAGATGGAAGTTATTTTTGTTACATGTAATGACAGAGTGGGAGGAGATAACTGTTTCTGCAAATTAGCAGGACAGGAAATGATTTTATCTTAAATTTCACCTTTTTCAGCATGATCTGAATGGTAAATGAGTAAAATTATATCATCCTGTTCTATTTTTATTAGGATTTATTTGGTTATTTTTCGAATTATAAGAACAGTTTGTTTGTTAATAGTTTGTTCTTAGAGAAAATATCAAAATATAGATTAATAAGAAAAACTGAAGGTATTCACGCTAGGACCAAAAAGTCGAATCAGTTTCAACCAATATCCAGTGATTTATTTAGGAAGGTCTTATCAATTAATAAATATGGGATGCTTATTGAGTTGTATAAATATGGAATACAAAAATCAGAGTCTTCATGGTATTGGCCATATTCCTATTCATTTTATTTTAATCGGGTATGAATGAAATGAGCCAGATCATAATTCCAGGCTGAAATCAATTAAGCATCAAATATAATTACTTTCATTTTTATGTCACCACTATAAGTGGACATAATATTGTTATAGTCTCCAGCTCTTTTGTGGACAGTGCTGCCAGTTGGTGTTTGGTGGTCAGTATCTGTAACAAATGACAACCGTAACATTTTGCACGTAAATGCCTTGTCTCAACCTTGTAGATTTCCTATTTGAAATATCTTTAAGGACAACGCTAAAATAGGACTTGCATAATCATCTCTGTGACAAAAATGAAAACAAATATTTTATTCTTTGTTCTGGGTGTCACTTTCACAAGTATGTTCCCATTGCATACACAGTATTACCCCTTGACCCTTCTTGAACACTCTTGCTCTAATATGTATTCCCAAAAATAGAATTTAATATTGGTATGTTGTCTGATGATTTGACCAAGTTTGATGTAGATATAAGATACTGATAGGATCAAAAATCAACTGGTGAAATTTCTATACAATATGACTACCTCAAATACCTTACACAGCACAATAGTGCTCAGAAAATTGAATTCAAAAATATTTTCCAGCTTTGAGAATTGAATCATCATACACCCTTCTGGAGATGGATGACAGTGCAGTGTCCGACCATGGAGATGACAGACCTTCCAATGCAGTGATCAATCCTGCATTCCCCGATGTTCCCCAAGGTGTCTCTGATCACGTCAGGAATCACTTGAGGACATTTCTGAAGTCGCAGGCAGGTCGGGAGAGCACCGAGACGCCACCTTCAATGTCTGCCACACCTCCACGTAGTATCAGCAGCCCCATGGTATGTTGCATTAGCATAGGGTAAATCTGTAAAGTGGAATATTTGTGTAAGTGGAACACCTCCTTAAAAGGGTCACTTTTCAAAGTTCAATTACCGATTTCCCATATGTAAAAAATTTCCCATATAAAAAAAATCCTCTGTAAGTGGAACATCTCCTTAAGAGGAATTCAGTTACCCTTATGTAGAAAAAATCCTTTTCTTTAAGTGGAACATAATCGAAGTGGAACACATTTTTATTGAGGTACTTAAAGTGTTCCCACCTTTACAGGTTTTACTGTAAATGATTGCTATTCTGAAGATGAGACAAATAGAATTACTGTAGACGAAGCTCTCTTTTTGTGAAATCAAACTACAGTAAAACTTGTTTAAGTGAACACCTCTCTCTAGTGAACACCTGTCTCTAGTGAACACCCTTCCCATGCACATACTCTATTGACTTATGTTTAAATTACCTTTTCTGCTGTGAACACCTACCAACACTAAACATTTTTTCTTGGTAAAAAATGTTCAATGTGCACAGGTTTTACTGTATTTAAAAAGGTTAGATATACTAGATTTATCCCACGATTAATGTGTTATCTGTACAATAACAGCTATTGATATTTCTGATATTATTGAAATCCGTGAGATATTTTCCAGAAAATCGTTTATCAAACTCATATGCGTGTGATATCGTTCATCTCACGCATATCCGTGTGATATCACATTTGCATTTCGCGCCACAATATTGTTGGAAATTAGGTCAGATAATTCATTCTCTTTTGAGAAAACAGGTCCCTTAATTTATTCTCTTTAAGTTTCATTGGTGTATTGAATTACGATTGTGTATATAATTTGATTAGAAGGCTGCTAACTAACGATTAAAAATGGTATTTATGACGAACTATATCATGTTATTTCCTTTTAATTGTTAAAAAAAGTGTTTCAAATATTCAATTGATATTCTTATTTCTAGTTTATATTGTCTGCCAATGTCCTGGAAATTGGATCAGAACATCACAAGGTGATTGTAATCATGGGATAAACCTAATATCACATAATTTCTCGTGATATCATTTTATCGCCTCGTAGATATCAAATATCAACACTCATTCGCTTCGCTCACTCGTGTTGATATTTGCTATCAACTCGGCGATAAAAATGATATCACTCAAAATGATGTGATATTCTGTATATAATATACAGTACAGTAACACCTGTGTATATTTTTGCCAAAAAATGTTCAGTTTTTGGAGGTGTTCACTTCAGAGAAGGTTATTTATACAAGAGGTCAGTAGAGTATGGAGGAAGGGTGTCTACTAAAGACAGGTATTCATTAGCCTAGTGAGAGGGGTGTTCACTAGAGAGAGATATTCACTAGAGAGAGGTATTCACTTAGGTTTTACTTCCATCATATCAATATCACATTGTTCTAGTTGATGATTTGATCACCGTAGAGTAACGTAGGAACAGTTAAGCTATTATACAACTTAGTGGCTAGAATGGGGGATAAACCATTTGTTTTATGAGTCCAAAAAGAGAAAATAGCTTCCCTTTGCCACTTTATATAGCCTGCTTGGTGTGGTTACTAAAATCTCCTTGGTGACATCGACATTGTAATACAACAAACAACTCCTGCCATGATATCAAAGTTAAACTGACATTGAAAATAAAATAAAAATGTTTGATAGCATGGATTATGGTTCATCTTGTCTTATGATTAAATGTCATGAAGATAATTAAAAAGATATATGAAGGCCAAAATTGTAAATTATGGTGATTAATGTTTTATCAGCAGATTTTATTATAAAAGTACATGTCAGCATACTTTCTGCAAGTGTTAATTATGATAATGAAAGGACTCGAATGAAGTACATATAATTAGAACGTTAAGATGTTTTCTTATGCATTAATTATTTTTTGGCTTGTTTGTTGGCTTTGGTTTTAGTATTTTATCAAGGCCTCATGCAATGTATAAACTCATATATGACATTGGGTAAGTTCATTTAAAATTTCAAAATTAATTAGTTTATTTATTTCTGATTTCAGAGAATAGGAGGCTCGAACACCAAGAAGGTTGAAAAGAAATCTATGATGTCATCCCCATCTCTTGTATCCCAATTAATGGCTGCTGAAAAGAAATCCAAGCAGGCTGGCATGCCTGGTTTTCCACCAGGGACTTTTGGCTCCAATCCTCCAGGATCTTTAGGACCCCTTGGTCTTCCCATGCCAGGGCCTATGGGTATGGGGAATCTCCCCCTTGGAGTCCCAGGGCTAGGGTTGCCCCCAACTAACATGCAGAATTTACTGATGATGGAGTATTACCGTATTGCTGCCGCCCAATCTCAAGCGTTTAGTGAACAGTCGGGGATGCTATCCTTTATGAAACCTCCCCCTGCTCACAGTAAAACAACCCAGCAGTCCTTACCCCCGGGAGCCTTTCAATTCATGATGACACCCCCTGCAGCTCACCAAAGCCACAAAAGTCATCCAGAATTAAGTGAGGTGCGGAATTATTCAATGCTACCAAAACCGAGTATGAGTCGGCAAATAGATGCAACGAAAGAGGCATCTAAAACAACACATGCCCCTTCTCCTATAAGTGACTATCTTAGTTCTACATTTCCAAACACCCCTTCAGAATCCACCAGCCCAGAGTGGACCCTAGAATCGGAGAACAACTTCTCCAATAGAAAGAAAAGGCGTAAACGACGCACATCAAGTAAATCTCGTGGCTCCCCTGCAAAACAGTCCAACCCTTTGTGTACTATTGATCTTACATCAGAGAAGCCTGTATGCAATGCCCCTTTACCCACTACCACCCCAGAAGTGTATCCTAAACGACAATCGGTGGTTCCCAGATCCTCATCTGAGATCCTTAAAGCTCTAGCAAAGGGGCCTCTATCAGAATTGGATAAATCCACGCTAGGGGTGAATATCAAAAATACATCTGGGGTAAAACCCATATCCTTACCTGAGGGATTAGATAAATCTGCTATAAAGAGTATATCTCTCCCCCAAGGCAGTGTCACCAAGGATACTGGAAACAAGGATGATAGCGAATCAAAGATAAAACTGGCAACTCTCCAAGGTATCGTATTTTTTGTTCTTATTTCATTATGCTAGACTGTAGAGTGAATCAGTATTATATTATGGGTTTTCCTTATGGCTGGTTGTGTCTTATTACTTATTATGTTTTATAATGATCTTAAATCTTTCCCATCGAGGCTCTTCTGCTTTCAAATACATTAGTGGTGAAGTAAATAGTCATAGAGACGCATTATCATCACACTGATGGTCTCAAATAATCGTGTCGGCTCAAGTGTCTATTATTGCCACTTGCTAAAGTTTGTTTGAAGTTGCTATGGCGAACATTGTTACATCTCATTTTAGATGTTCGCTTTTTTCTTGTTTATTAATTGATATTCATTAATTTGACCTAATTGTTGTATGTTTGCAGATGAACTGATCAGATCCATGCTAATGTCTTCACCCATGTGCCCCACTGTTCCGAAGGAAACCAACAGCCGTGTTATCGATATTGACAAAATAATACGATCTGAGATGAAAGTTTATGAGCCAGAAACTGAGAAGAAACCAGTTCCTGTCCTCTCCATGCCATCTATTCCAACAGCACCATCTATAGGTGCAATTCTAACGGCGCCACCTATTTTGACAACACCATCTTTAATTGTGACAGAGAGTACCATGTCTGGGGTTTCGACTCCAGTTGCCATGGTATCTCCAAATGAAGTACTTAATACTGTGAGCCCTACTCTAAAGCCATCAAATTCTGACGGAGGTTCTTCTAAATTAGACATCCGCTCGTTTCCCACAATTAATTTTTCAAAATATGGCCAGAAGAATTCCAAGCAGTTATTTGGGTGTACGCTTTGCAAAAAGTTGTTTCCGAGGCTTCGTATTCACAAACATCTATCTTTGGACCATGGTCAGCCTCGCTTTAAATGCAGCCTCTGTGACTTTTCCGATGATTTGGATTTGGAAATCAAACAACATATCATTAAGGAGCATAACAGTCGATTTTCAATTCGCTGTAGTATATGTAAGGGACTCTTCCCAACTAAAAAAGAAGTTCGTAATCACATATTTCAAGAACACGAGCTACAACCAGATGGCCACTTATATAGAGGAGTTCGGGATGATAACAGTTCTGGTCGTTTAATCAATCTCCATTCAACATTCATGACGGTTGGAGATCCGGAAGATGGTAAAAAGCTCCAATTGAATCCTGGGAGGTCCAGGTCGAGAAATGCCGTGGGTACTGTAGAATCGCCATTGGAAAGTATTAACGACTCCGCTAATGATTCAGAGCGTAGCATGGATTCCACGTCCTTCTATACTAAGCCTACATCAGACATACCTATCAAGATTGAAAATGACAAGGATCTAATGTTGATGGGATATGGAATGCAGATTGACACAAACAGTATAGACAGTCCTAATAATGGTGAAAATGATGAAAGAGACAATGATTTGGTTATTAAAGAAGAAATATCAAATGATGAAGTTGAGATGGAAGTAAAGAACAACGCTGAGAATCACAGTCAAGATGAACCGAAAGTACCTCCACTTCGGATCAAACTCAACCCACAGTGCATTACAATGTCACCAACGGGGACGCCAAAGTCACCAAAATCCCCAAAGAAAGAGAAGCATCACCACCATAGAAGGAAGAAAGATAGAAAATGTAAGGAGAAGAGACATGACTTGAGAGAGCGTGACAGCCCACGCACATTTGATATTGATGATCTGATTATATATAAAGATGTCGTTTTAGACGTCCCAATGTATGCTTGTCAGCTGTGTGACTTTATGTGTGGAAATGACACAAGTCAACCTGAGCAGATGTCGATATACCAACACATCCGTGAGGAGCATAATGTATTACATTACCAGTGCAAATTGTGCGGCCGCCAATCTGCCTCCGACACATTCATCATGAATCACATCATAGTGGAACATAATGTGACAGAACACGTTGATGTACAAATTGAAGATCTCCATTCTCGACATTTTGACACAATTTTCAAATTATCTGACAAAGGGACAGATTTCTGGAAAGAATATGTGTTTTTATCGAAGTGCAATCTATGTGGATTTTTGTCATCCACCCCTGTTAAGACTTCTCCGGAGTCTGAAAAATCCATTCCGGACAACAAAGATATGCTTCATTTTCACTTACAAAAGGTGCACTCGATTCCTCGCTACACTTGTAACATCTGTGAGTACTCTACCGATTCGTCCCCACAGATGTACCTCCATTTAAGAATGATGAAAGATACACACAACACGTCATTGTTCAAATGCCGTCACTGTAATCTTGTGTTCGATAAAGAGGATGAAGCATTAGATCATGCATCTACAAAACATCAAAAAGTTCGTAGCTCTAAATTGATCCGACAGCAGAGTAACTATATGGGGAAATATCGCGAATCTCACTATCAATGGTTCTCACATGACTGGACTCATAGAGTGAACACCTTTACCCAGAAGGCATCGGGTTCCCAGACTCCTGAAGCCAATCATGGCAGTCACGCCCAGGATGACAGTACTAACATCCCCAAGGTAAGCCTAAAAGCATCAAATCTTATGGACCCCAACAAAGAACAAAGCCTAAAGGACAAATATGATGGTGAAGCAATCCAATCACTTCCTGATAGTCCTACTGTTTATCACCCCGAGCCTTTTAAACCAGAACTTATTCTTCGCACGGAGAATTCCAAACAGGGAGAAGACTTAGCATATGTGCAAAGCCTTTTATCAACTTCGGCATTCTCATCTCTCAAACCCAAGACCCCAGCCTCATCACCCAGACCTGTGGCCCTATCTCCCAGAGCTGCGGCCTCATCCCCCAAAGCTACAGCCTCGTCCCCAAAAGCTAAATCGCCAGCCGCAGACAAGAAACTGACATTTTGTGACTTCGGTGGATGTGAGTTCTCAACTCTAAGGAAAAGTAAAGTAAATGAACACTATATGCTACACAACTATCAACGTATATACAAGTGTCTTCATTGCAATAAATCCTACTCGGGCCGTCCTAAAGGAATCTGCCAGCATTCTAGACGGACACATCCAACTGAAGATCCAGAGACTGCTGTCTTGGTTTCGAAGGATTATGGCGCCACCTATGTAACATACAATGAGGACGACAGCAGTACGAGTGATGAAGGAGATCCTCCTGTGAATGAAATTAAACAAGAGGTCCATGATGTTAAAGTGGAACCCAAAGAAATATTCTGAAGCCTTAGATTGTGTTATTAGTTAGAATAGTATTTATTTTAAATAATTGTTGAAATTATTATACATATGTTATTAGTTTTTGTAATTTTAGATGATGAATCATTCTAATATTCTATGTGATGTAATAACTTTCTGTATAATTTACAGAGTCGAGCTAGATAGATAGCGTAATTAGAGAAATTTTGTGCAATTAATTTTTCTTACATTCTCAAGCTTTAAAATGGTGTTTTTACATCTGTTACAATTTCATTTAGAAATCAACATCTTTATCATTGCAAAAATGATGTTTTCCACACACTCAGTACTGGAAAACATTGTGCAATCAAATTCTGACTAAGTAATAGTTAGGAAGATAAATTTAAATTTCAATCACTAATTTTGCCTTTTTGGAAATTTTATTTGCACATAAATATTTTTGGATAACACAGTGAGCCTATGATGTATTTTACAATATGTACGTTTTTGTATACTTTAAAAAAGCCGAAATGAAAATCATAAAAAAATTTGTTAAAAATTTACAAAAATAACTGTAATCTTTTTTGTTTATCTTGTCTTTCAAATTGATTCTTAAGTGGCTTTAAGTATCGTTTGTTCATTTTTGTTGTACAGTTATATTGAGGTTGCAATATGTACTTAAATATTTCAGTGACACAGTTTTTTTCAAATTTCAAATCCAGTTTGAAACTATGGAAATAAACTTGTGAGTGAAGTATTTTGCTGAATGTTCAATAAGGTTACTGTATTTGTCTTTAATTTGGCAAGTGTTTTAAATTGGCAAATTTTGGTGAATTAAGGATATCGCCAAATTAAAAAATCACCAATATCCTCGGGAATTTGACATGTTTTTTGTTCGGTGTATATACCAAGATGGCCGGGCCATTTAAATTGATAGAAACAAGAAATATTGAAGAAATTTATATAAACAACAAGAAATATTGAAGAAAATATAAACAACAAGAAATCTTGAATCTTGAATTGGGTTGGATGGGAGGATGTCTGGGACATTTGAAAAACCACCAAATTAAATAGACACCAATAGGCCCAAAAATACAAAATCACCAAATTAAGTAGCGCCAAATTTAAGACAAATACAGTACAGTTTAATTCAAGTATTAATTTTCACATGTTTAACTTGAACTTATGTGATGAAGAAACTTTTATTCCCATCTTTATGTGTGGCCTTTCCAAGAGTACTTATTCCTTCATCATATTCTTATTTATTATATGACTTGTATTTACATTTTCAAAGTCAAATATTGCACGCTGGTAATATACAATACATTTAACAATGATGCATCCATAATGTTTAACTTTTGAAGAATCGTGTCTTTCTTCTTGTATTGTTCGTGCATTATTTGATTTTAGTCTCTAATTCTACTACAATACTTATGCGATTTGTCATCAGTTTTCTTTATACAAGTTGTGTATAAGTCTCTAATTTATCTATCCAGTCTATGCGAGTTGACTTAATCATCTCTATTTTTTCTGTTATCTTTAGATCAGTTTCCTAGAAGTCTCTTATCCATCTATCATGTCTATGAGTTGACTAGACTTTACTCTTGAATTCTTCTATTATCTTTAGATGAGTTAACTATCTCTAATTTTGTATCAAGTTTATACAATCACCTTTATATGAGTTTCTCCTATCATGTTTATAAGAATCTCTTATTTATCGCTTGTATTCTGTCAATGGGTGATCACTTGATGATCAAGTTTACAAATGATATGTTACCCTCTTCATGTATATGTAGTATATTGTACATTTTAAAATATTTACAGGATTTATTTAAATGTTATGTTATGTTTGTCATGTTTGAAATATTGAGAGTGAAATTGAAGTGGAATTAACAAGTACTAAAAGACCAAAAGTGCTCTCTCCCAATACCCCAATACAGTAAAACCTGCAAGTAAGGCACCTTTGGTACCTGAAAAATGTTCCATTTTAGAGTTTTTATGTCACTGCCAAAATTGGTGACATATTGTTATAGTCTCTAACCTTTTTGTGGATGGTGTTTTGTGTCTTGCAGTCAGCACTCAAAGTTTGGCATCTGTAACTAATGGAGTCTGTAAAAAATGGCAGGTGGTGACATTTTGCATGTTAATGCCTTGTTCCACTTACAAATGTTTATTTAACAATTAGGTCAACAATTAGGTTTCTGTGTGCTTAAGAAAAATAGGGATTGAGCCCTCTTCTTGCGAAATTCAATTTAAAATCCAAAAATGCAGTTTGAGATTTCGGAGTGACATTTTATCTGCTGATATATTGTTAGGAATAGATATAAAATAGATGTCACTGTTGTTATTCAGTTAGTTCATTAAATCTTGAACTGATCCCCTGATATGAAGATAAGAAAGTGTGTTGAGGTTTTTTATGAGGTATCTCTACCAAAAGAAAACAAGTGTAACTTCATGTTTGTATAATATATTTTGTAAGAGACTTTTTGTGATCAGCGTTAAGTATGAAATGGTTACATTTTTGTAATTGCATCTTGATGACATTTTATCATGTAAATTATATGTTCCAAGTCTATGTATGATAGTTTGGCACATTTCTTTGCAGCAAATATAGCCAATTAATATACTTTACATGGGCAAAGCCAGTTTTCAGTCGGGGGGGGGGGGTGCGATTGCCAAAAATTTAGTTTTCAGTCAGAGGGGTTCCGATAGTGGTAAAAGCAAGCCAAAAATTGAGCTAGAAGCTTCAAATATAAAGCATTTTAAAACTCTTTTCTTCTATCTAATGGTTCTATTGGTTATGGGGGAGGGGGTGTACGTACCCATCACACCTTGGCTACACCTATGCTGTATGTACTATTTAATTAATGTAAAAACAACTTTCCAAATGTAAGAGATTTCTTATAATGAAAAGCATGATAAAATTCTGGAAAATGGTCGTAGAAAAGTTGAATATTTTCAACATCAATAAAAATACAACGAGCCAGATGTAATATTGATATCATTTAATAATTCATTTTACATTTTGCTAGTATGGTTTATAGAATTTGCCTTATATTTTGGGTACATCTTGGGTACAACCTTGTTTATTTATATGTCGATAGATATTTCTGTTCAGACTATTTCCAAATCAGTATACTGGGAACACTGTAGTTACTATGTGTTGTGCTACTTTTAGTAGTCGAATCGAGTGTCAAAAGGCATTCTTTGTTTTTTAAATTCAATGTCACCACATTTTGCCTTGAAGAAAAACACATTTTAGAGGAAGTTAAATGAATTTCAGATATGTGCTTATCTCACTTACATTTCTTCATTGAAAAAAATGCTGTCATCAATATGAAAAAAGTATGTGATCTTAGGAAGCATAATAATGTATTAAAACTGTTTGATTACTTTTAAAAAGATGGCTGAGTTGTCAATATAGAGGTGGAAAATATTATAAATTTATTAAAAATTGTATGACTGTATCCATGACTCTTTGGGTTATATGATTTATCTGAACATTTGATGATATCCTTTTAAATCTCAAAATCTATAGACTTGATTGAATGTATGGATAATGAATATATGTTTAGTATTGTATTGATATTATATTGATATTTGTGAAGAAATAGTCCTGATATATAAAATCTATATATTGCTTGTTTGTTAGTTTGTCCAAGATTTAAGTGAAATATTTAGATTGTATCCATATCTCCTAAGATTCTAGGTAGATAAACCCATATTTTAAACCTTCTTGTGCATAAGCCGTATATATCCAATGCCCTACCAGTGCTAGGTACTGGATTTTTAAATTACGATGTCTATTGAAAGTGGATGTTGGGACCTAATATCACCACCAATTGAATGCCCATGGTCCCAAATACCGATTCTAATGAAAACTATCTGGGCTGAATATGTGGTCCCAAAGTCATGACAGGCTTGACTTCAAAATCACCAAAAAGTTGAGTAACATTCTACATTTCCTACAAGCTCAGAGGGGGAATAACCCCAGGGTTCAAATAAGACATGTTTTTAATGTAAATCTGTATTGAGGAGACATCATCGCTGATTTATCAACCCCCCCCCCAAAAAAAAAAAAAATTCCCCATGCTAAACCAAGCCCCTTTGTATTGTAAAGGGCAGTAGCGGATCTGGAAGCTAACAAGGGGGGACCCACATTTGAAGTCAGGAAAAAATATCCGCCCTCACGGAAAAACTTTTCAGGGCCCTAAAACCAAAATTTGGGCCAAAATTTAGAAAATCTATGGCATGTGTTTTTGAAAATTTGGCCTAATATTGTAAAAAATAAGGCCCAAAAAGGTCAAGTAATGCCAACATTTTTTTTCTGGGCCCATCCTAGGGCAGCGCAGAAATTTTTTTAGGGCCCTAACACCAAAATTCGAAAATTTATGGCCCATTCTTTCTTTGAAAATTTGGCCTAAAATTGAAAAAATAAGGCTCAAAAAGGTCAAGTAATGCCAAAAAGGCCCACTAAAGAGGCCATACAATATTTTTGGGCCAACATTTTTTTCTGGGCCAATCCTATGGCTGCACAGAGAACCTTTTAGGGCCCTAGAACCAAATTTTGAAAATTTTTGGCCTGTTTTTTGAAAATTTGGCCTAAAATTGAAAAAAATAAGGCCCATAAAGGCCAACTAATGAGGCCCTACAATATTTCTGGGCATCCTATGGCCGGGTGGAAACTCTTTTAGGGCCTTAGAAGCAAAACTTGGGCCTAAATTTTGAAGATTTATGGCTCGTTTTTTGAAAATTTTGCCTAAGATTTAAAAAAATAAGGCCCTGAAAGGTCAAGTAAAAAGGTCAAGTAAAGGCCAACTAAAGAGGCCCTACAATATTTTTGGCCCAACATTTTTTTTCTGGGCCCATCCTAGGGCCGCGCGTAAAATGTTTTGGGCCCCTAAAACCAAAATTCGGGCCCAAATTTTGAAAATTTATAGCCTTTTTTTTGAAAATTTGTCCTGAAATTGAAAAAATACAAACACATAGACGATCCTAAAAAACAGAGGGAAAGGGTCACAGATATGTCCACAAAAAAATTGGGCCAAATTTTGAAAAATAATGCCCAAATTCGAAAAACAATGCACAGTAATGCCTACTTGACCAGTGAATGTGGAAGAGCAAGTTTTTCTTCAAGGGAGCATAAAGGTAGGTCCACATTTTATAGGAGATATGTCTATGTCAATAATCTGCAAAAGGCTAATTAGCCCATATAAAGCAGATATATAATTTAACAGTGATAGAATTTGAATAGAATATAATTTAAAACCTTAACATTTAAAAATAGATCTATGGTTTACAACTCATTTTACCTGGGGAGACTGTCAGGCTACCGCATTGATATCAGATAACCCCCCCCCCCTGGAAGTCCATGGTGTGATCAAGTTTATTATCTAGAAGGATTTGAATTCCAAATACAAGTTTTGATATACTGTTTTATTGATGGCAGTAAGTTATAGATGGCAGCAATTTTCAATTTTGAAATAAAGAAAGTAGGAAGTGATCACGTGATTTTGTTATTTCTACCGCCATTTTGGTTTATCACTTTTGAACTTTGTTGAATGCATTTTTGGATAGATTCTTGAATAATTCAATGTATTTGGACCTTATTTAGTTGTTGCCATGATACATACAGCGTACTGAAATAAGGTGAGTAAACCGATTTTCCATTATTGTGCCCTTGTGG